CGCTGTTAGCTAGGTATTCATTATAACGAACCCCGTTTCAGTCACATGTATCTGTGGAAGTTAAAGTCAGTTAAAAGTCGGCATTCAGAATTGTAAATGAGGAACGATATGCAGGCAGACATGACAGGCAACTTCCCTTCAGGGCTCAGCTCTCCCTTAATCACCGCAAACCTCCTAGCCTTCCACATTACTGGGGTCATTTGGCCGACGAGTGCGCCTACGTCCACGGCCTTCATTCGGCACTCGCGAATGCTGCCCTAAAATAAAATTTTTTTTTTAAACCCTCACGTGCTGTACGACAGTTGACTTCCGCTTTGATCAAGCGAAGCCTCATCCCGACCTCAATGTTTGTCGTAGATAACCGATCAAATGCATTTTGGAGGTGAGCATAGAAGAAAGTTAAGTAGCGAGGCCATGTTTAAATAGCAGGGACTCAATTGTGAAATCTGTAACGTTATCCATGCATTATTCTGTTTTCTAATCTATTTCATAAGGATGACATCAGAGGAGTGGCAACAATCTACAATACGGTTTCACATGGTTTGAAGTGCTTCGATTGCTTTCCATAAATCTGGACACGTCATTTCAAATAGTCGTCTAGCAAACCTATGGTCTTCAGCAGCTGGCTATTCATCACCTATTCTGCAACTCAGATTTCTTCAACCATGGCATTTCTTTATTAATCTTTCCCAATTCTATGAGACTAACATAAACTTCTTCACGTTTTCCTAAGGTTTTACCGAAATCTACGCTGCTGGCCCTGAACCGGCTATTTAACCATTTTTCTGATCTAAATTTTCTGCTAACTTGGCGCAGACTTTACTTGGAAGGCAGATCGCTATGACGCCACGACAGTTGCTGCGGTGTCTTGGACCCGTGTTTTTCCAGATTAGGGAAAACCCGTTGGAATTGAATCCGCCTCTGTATCTTTACAGAACTCGAAGCAACTTGCTTCGCATAAGTCTGGCAAAGATATTATTCCGATTCAAGGCAGATCGTTGATTTCGTTCCAAAGGGCAACTGATGAAAAGTTACAGCTCCGTTCATAATATGCTTATAATCTGTACGGTAATAAACCTGAAATTAGGACCTTCGTCATGCTCAAGTTTATTCTAGCATCTGAAGCGTCATCAAAACGAAAATATGGTTTCATCTTTAACAATCTGTTTATCCAGTTGTTGCGACTGCAGAAATGCTTCTTTTAAAGAGGACGTGACTCTTAACTCTCTAGTAATGGGTGGAAGACGTAGATGCTACGATATGCTAAGTCGCAGTGTATGAGGAAACGACGACCATGAAAGCACTGTCTCGTAAGGGTAGCATTGGTCGCCCTGAAGCAGTCTGGTGGGAATAATGCAGCGGTCGTAGAGTAATAGAAACTTGTAGGTTATCCGGTGCTTAAAACTGCCAAAACGACCAATCATTCCCTCTATTAGCCTACTGGCGAGATCCAGTGATTTGTAAGTTTTCGACCATTTACGATTTGAGACTGAATTTCGAGGATGTTTCAAACGATTAACCTAAGACTCTTCGATAACTTCAGCGAATATCATATTTTGTCTCATTTTATATACGTAACTTTAACTATATTTGGTTGGTTTTTCATGCAAACCTATTCAAATAAATTTCTATTTTCTCTGATTAACATTGCCGCATGAAGGAACATGTGTAAACACAAGACAATATTCCTTTAACCAACTGATGTTGCGAACATGAATGAATCTTCATACCACCGAAAGGTGATGCGCGGGGAAACATTCCCTCTTAGAAACAGTAAATCACTGGGAGGCTGGAGACTGTTTATTGCTGTGGTATTGAGGCTTTCTTTGTTTTGGTATTGGATGAGTCTTTCTTGCTGTCAAGTTGTTTTTGTGCTGTCCACGGATCTCCTTAGCACTGAGAAAGAGACATGTGTTCCCTGAAATCATTGTCCTAAGTCGGTTGCGTGGGCGGAACATGCCTGATTGTGATGTACTTAAAATTTTCAACTTTTTAGTACCTTTGCTATGAGGTACTCGGTATTGCATCGGCTTCATGCACGCTGCAGGATAGGATTTTGTTCTATGACTGCCTTGTTTCAGCTCCCTTGCGAGAAGCTTGTGGGTTCCAAAAAATTCTTTACGCTCAACTAGCTTGTCTAAATACTTCCGTCTTTTTTCACAATCACCACATTTATTGAGGTCACCTATGTTTGGAAGAGGATAGAGTCATCTCTTACGTAGTGCTGTCATTTAGTTTTGAATATGCGCAGAAACCGATGTTACTGTATGCAGTTCAATTGTCGTTCCTGGTCCATCGTTAGAACAGCTATCTCAGTGCTGATCAATGACAATGACCTAACTGCCACAGTGGATAGGTGGATTTTTGTGGAAAAGATAACTTATTTCTAAATCAAAATATTGAACAAGTTATCAAAGGTACCAGAGGTAACAGTGACCTTCCTATCGATGACTCATTCGATAACACCTTCAATTAAAACGTCTTCTTCCGTTTCACTTCCATTTGCTACTGGGATCACTTTTCTAGGGGATGCAAGAACGCCTTTATGAATAATAACAAATCGAATTTTGCTTTAATCATATGCAGCAAATTAACGTCATTATTTACAAATAGTTGCTTACCACTTGGAGTTGTTGATGTAGTTGATTGAAATGTTTTCAGCGATGACCAGTTTGAAGCATCTTGATTCGTCTTCTGTTGCCGATATCCAAAATTTGTCCATGTTTATGCAAAATCTGCCCCACAACCCTGACCAGCATGAAATGTTCAAGTCGTTCATGAGCTTTACAGGAAAGAAATGTCAGGCTGCTTACGTTGATGACGTATCGATGGAGGTATGTGCCGAAGCTGTCGACGAAAAAGCCGCCGACCCTTTTGCGCCGGAGTCCAGCGTTCCGCTGCCTTACACGAGTGACGATCATTTGGGGTATGGAACGTACATGAATAAAGTAACTTCTAGAAGTACTGTATAATCGTATATGAATGCAAAAGTATATCATTAACGCCATGGTCGATGATAAAGCCAGCTAATGACCACAACAATTAAGGCAACAGCGAACAACATAATGGTTTACACTAACGCTGTACACCTTGTGATAATTATCATGCTAGATTGTCATCTATCAAATAATCCAAAGTGAGAATTGCAGCTCTAAATGAAGCTCGCATCAAGAGCATGAGATTACCCAATGCCCATTCTGGCATGAGTACATTTGAACGTCGTA